TTTTCTATTGTTTCAGTCAATCCCTGCTGACCCGTTTTTGTCGGAATCGTGTAGATGGAACCGTTGAGAATTTTTCTCATCCCTGTTTCAGCCGAGCACAATGAAAGACAAAAGTGGAAGTTTTTTATTTCAACCAAGAAAGTGGAATCCCTTTGTAGTACAATATTCATAATGTACTCTTCTCATTTTGTTAATTAATACTTTTAATATCCTTCATACAATTTTTCGTAGAAGATAAATTCTATGTTTATTAAGCTAATAAATGGAGCTACTATCTACGTACATTTTTCCGGAAAACAGAAATTATCATGAAAGTTTATACGGCTCGGTACGTTTAATTAAAGTTCTTTATCCTTTATTCTAAATTTCTGCAACTTCAATTAATGCTACACGCAGCGCTTTCGATCTAGGCGTGTTTTAATTTGACAAACACGATATTTTACGATCGAGTAAGTTTCCAGGAATTAATTACGCAATATAAAGAACCCATTAAGCCGACAGCGGCTGTAATAATAAATATTAATACACTGTTGGGTCAGAGACAGTTAGGTATGTGCTAAACAGTAAAGGGAAAGGACGTGTCGAGAGTGATCAATACCTGCATGATTAGAATTTAAATAAATCATCCTTCCAGCGAATTACTTCTAAAGATGTATCATAGTAATCTCTAAATCCGTCGATGTTTATCATAAATCAATTGTTCGCGTTCGTAAAACAGGATATTATAATCTCTCCATCAAATGTAATAATTTTAAATGAGATTTTCAGACACAAACGTAATTACGAGACATGGATTTTTCATGATGCTTAAAACCCTACGAGAATTATTTGAACGTGTTTCTCCGTATAGACATAATCCGTATTTTCGCATGATACACGCATTTTTTATTGTATTTTCTACACGTCAAACTTTTTCGCAAATGCATAAGACCGTTGGCTTAGTAATATGTTAATAAAATGTCAGGAGCGATTTGAACGCGATATTTGCTAGTGGAACTGTGAAATACGCGAGCTCCGTAGCAGAGCAGCGACGGAGATGATTTCGGAGCTTCCCCTCGAGCACATCAGCACGACACATATCGATCGACACGGCGAATTTACGGCCTCTGCTCGTATCTAGCAACGATTCGATGCGGGTGTTAAATGTTAATGGCCATAGTCTGACGCAGTTTCGTGAACGGCGACGATTTCATTTCGACCGATTCTACGATACCACACACCGGGAAAATCCGACTTTAACCGCAGCACAAAATAATCATCATCGTGTCTCAACAAATATTGTTCGTCTATAATATAAAACCGAAACAATAATAATTGTGTGTAAATGCGTTACACGGAATTGCATGAAATAGCAAATCTGCGTTTGCTTTTCATATAAAGAACGCAAGTGAATGAATGGAACAGATGAGACACGAACATATGAGATCTGCAGGAATAATTATCATAAATTACTACTTCGAGTAAAAAATAACCAGCGTGAAGCTGTGAACTTCTACGACAGAGATTTGTATACAATGGCGAAATTACAGGATTTTAGAACGATGGATGACGACCGAAGATCTATGAATCTTCTTAAAAATCTGAGAAAGATCTAAAACAGTGGTCTTGCGGCTGAGACAAGCGACCCACGCAGTAGCCGCATTTGCGTTTTCGTAAACGTACGAAAAATTGCGACACAAGTAGAAATTACATTGCACAAGACCTCGCGTCGCCTATAGGCTCGCAATCGGACAATGCCGTTTGCTTGAAACATTCTGCTTTAATTAACGTCGTGCTTGCGCCCACGTCGAAGATAATCGACGGGAAACGAAACGAAAAGAAGAAAAATTCGAGCCGTACATTTTACGAGTCGCTGGCGTTGTAAAGGGCTCCCTTTATTCCTATACCTCCTTTTTGCTTTCCGGGCATGCTTATCTCGTACTTAATGCCACGATGTAATCTTTACTTCGCCTTCCCCTTCACTTTTGTTTATCAGACGTAGTTTTCATTTTACAGCGCAGAGTATCAGTCGATCAGGAATTTATTACTAATTTTTCTTGTACGTATACCACTTGGGGAGCAGCTTATTTCTATCTTTATAATAATATTTTCTACAGAGTAAACTGTTATCGAATATAAGAATTTATTTCAGTCTCCAGATAGCAAGTTTTAAAAGCAGTGCGACGCACCTATTAAAGAAAGTTATTTCCTGATGGTTGGAATTTAAAATACACGTATCACTCTCAAGGCCAGATCTCTGCATGCAATTGGCAAATTTCGTGACAGAACGATACACCAATGTGTTATTAGTGTATCACGATGGTCCCCTTATGTAATGCAAAGAGCGGATAACGTGGTTCCTTTTTATTATAAACCGGCTAATGCGTACACGCGTGGTCATCGATTAAGCTCGCATAGCTTCGCAGAAAAATGCAAATTTTTCCGGTTCCTTGAAGAATTCTCTTCGAAAGACACGTTGGCTACGAACAGGTCGAAATTCGAGAAAGATGTACCTGAGAGAGATAGCGGTCCGAGCGGAGGGGAAAGGGACCAGTGATCGATTGAAAATTATATTAATATTCGCCCCTCCGTTCGTTCGTTCGTTCGTTCCCTTCTTCCTACGACGGCGTACCGAAAATTATTCGTCGTGACAGGAACACCGTTATGTACAGAATGCTTCAAAAGTTGGTTTAGCAACACGCGAGGTCTGCCTCTCTCTGAAGACTTGACTTTGATGAGAAATTAATATAGACAGTGTCTATATTTTTAAAAACGATGATAATTGTGAATAATGGAAGTGAAATGTTTTATCAAATCTCTGATTGATTATATAAGTGTCAGTCACGTTGATCCAACTGATAACGTGTAACCAGTACATTGATACAAAATCGAGAGTTTAGTATGTCGAATGATACGTATATGTGTCTGAAGTTAAAATCTGCTCGACGTCATTAAATTCTCGCTGTGATCAAGTGAAATCAGCAATGCCTTTACGGGCAACGTTAATGAAAATGACTCATTATTTGGACGTCTTTTCTTAATAACAATGTAAGCTCGTGGACGAGATATGTAAATTGTTTCAATGCAAATACGTGAAAACACGAAATTATTCTTTATTTTTAGTTACAGAGAAATAGTGCAATAATACAGCAATGCGCACGCGTGTTTTTATCTCCTTCCACAAGAACAGAATTCCTGTATTTGTCAAACTTGATGAACCTCGTTGTTGGGAATAATTACTGAGATAAATAATATTTTCGAAGTACGTGAATATGTTTGCTAGACGCTTTATTGTTCATCGATGTTTCTAAAATAGTCTTTCTCAGCATTTTGCCCGTATTAATTCAAGCATATGAGATTCATTTACTGTAATTATTACTTTTATTAAACCCATTATTCGTACACGACATGTGCACGTTGATCTTATTCTTATAAGTCGGTAAAAAAATCGAACCAGGTGGAAGTTCGTAAATTTGCAATGCAGATTAAATGGATAATAACGTGTGATTTAAATTACAAATTTGATTTATACTCAAATGCAACGTTGCAATGTTGCTATTCTATGCTTAATTCATCCCACTTTAATAAATGTCTACTTTCGCTAGTACCGTCACGCTTTGATACAAGAAGGCAAAGCGTTATGAGAATTTGACTCGAAATATATTCAAAAACCAAGAATCAAGAACAACATGAATTATTAAATTCTATCAGAATCATGATATACGTGACAAGATCTTCTTTACTCGATCATATCAATAACTATAACATCGTAAGTTGTAAATATGATGTCGCAGATGATATTTCTATCTTGAAATCTGCTTATCACACATCGTACGATGATGATGTACTTCCGTAAACAGTTCAAAGGCAATTCCTAGCAGGAACCAAGACAAGAACACGAAGAAGAGGACGAAACCAACGAGTTTATCTCGAGTTGAATAAATAGAAATTTAATAAAACAACGGAAAGATGTTCCTCGGTTCTTTTACGATCATAAAGTACTCCTCCCCGAGGGATGGTGTAAGTCACGAAACACGAGTCATCGTCGAACTACTTCCGTTTGCGGAACAAAAGCCGCTTTACGAGAAGACTTACGACATGCAGAGCACGTAACCGGCAACAGCCGTCGGCAGCCATCCCCCGTTTCATGGCCGAGAAATCTTGGAGATCATGAAAATTTACTTCTTTTTTCCACTCCGAAGCCGTGTAATCGGGGGGGCCATCAGACCGGAAGTGACGAAGTTTTACAAGGAAATCGCAGCACCGCAATTTGAAACGTGTTCGGCAAACTCGAAAGACGAGTTTGTTACAGAGAAAGATTTTTACGACCATCTCCTGAGTCTCGAACCCCTCGTTCGAACGTTAATGCTACTAGACATCCCTTAAAATTAACAACCCCTTCCGAGCGATTAAACAGAAGGTCGTTCTTGCATACGATAATTGCAACAACGGTGGGCCACGCGAGAAGCAACAAGCGCGTATCCAACGCGGTCCGTCGGTCGCCGACGGTCAGGAACATGGGCAGCCTCAAGTCGCTACCATGAACTCGAAATTCATCGACGGAACTTACATCGGAAACCACTGACTTCTTATCGGGCACGTTTCCACGCACACGTCCACGGACATGTGCGGTGATACACAGAAGGGACAAACATGACACTCTATACATATGCATGTGCATACATTTACGATAAAACACGATGCATGTACACAACAAACAATCGCTCACGACGGAATGTTGTTGCTCGGGAGCAACAACGGCAGCATGACATGCTTGCTAGGGGTATCTTTCGACCGACGATCGGTCAAAACAAAATCTAACGACGATGTAGACGAGACGCTGGCACACAGGACGATCGGGCGACGGAGTTCGTGTCGTGATGCGAATTCCGTCGGACGGCGTAGGGGTTTAGGACGAGAGAAAGACGTGGAACAAGCGACGGAAAGAGACAAGCGAAGGGAAGGAAGACGAGCTCGGGTGGACGAAGAGGAGCACTCTTGGTAGCAAGGCAAGCGCTTACCTCTTGGTGGCGTCGAGCAACGCGCCCTGGAAGCACTTGGCACCGTGGACAAAGGACACGACGACGATGTCCGGTAGCGCGGACTCGACGGTCACGAGGATCTTGTCGCCCCTGGCGAGCGTGAACGCGGACAGGGCCACCGTGTCCGCCGCCATCTTGGCTCGTTAGAATTATTGCTCCTCGCTGTGTCGAGACCCGTCGTCTCTCTCTCAGCGGATGACGTGAGGAGCGGCTGGGGCTGCCTCACTCTCCTCCGTGTGTACGGAGGCCATGGGCTCCACGAGGCATGTTAGGGGTGGGGGAGACAGGAGGGCAGTCTGGCTGCTTGCTTGCTCGCTCGTTCGCTCGCTTGCTTTCCTAGCAGCCACCACTGCATTTCACATCCGTGCACAGCTGGCTAGCTTGCGGCTTCCTACGCATGCGTTTCAAACGACTCCCACCCCGTCGGACCAACGGTATGCCACGATATCAGTAGACCCTGGGTATTACGTGGGAAATTTTATCTATTGTTTCATGTCACTTTCTTCTCTGGATAATTATGTTATAAAGATGTTAACTTGTTCCAAACTCATTTCTTCCTAACCAGAATATTATGTACAAACGGTCTTATGTTTTTCGTTGAATCGAATGAAAGGAATTATAATGATTATTGTAAATACTTTGACTGATAATGATAAATAAAATGGTATTCGACAAGTATAATATTGTAGTGGAGTTCATAGATCTCTTCAAAGAAATCGTTCCTCCTAGAAGACAAACGTACATGATAATAATCTACATAATCTAGATAACTTCTAATCCATTTCGTTTTGATTATTTTATTGTAATATAGTATTTGAGAATGTACAAAAAGAAATTTAGAAAGGGAGAATGAAACGTATTGTCACAATTACACGTCACTGGGCGGATTTATTTCAGGTCTGTAAATAATCTTCATGGCGCCCTTTCCTTATGGTGAACAGGCTGTACAGAAAGGGTAGTATAAAAACCGAAATCTTTTTCGCTTGCAACATCTATCGCTGTTTGCTCGAATGCATTTCGTTATTCTAGTCCAGCCAGCAGGAGTTCAGCCAATTCATTGTTTTTCGTATAGCAGTCTCTCGTACATTCCAGTCTAGATACAGTACTATGGCACATGTGTACTACATATGTGTCCGTATGTACGTAGATATTTTTCGATAGCATTCTTTCTCCAAAGCACGATGAAGCATGAAAGAATGAACCACTATTCTTTGTGGGAATATATTCCATGCTTGATATATACCAGCAGAAGTAAATTCGATGAATGCTATTACTTTGATACAAAAACATATCGTGCCATGTATCATAGCATTATCGATTGAAGCAGAAGAGATGGAGATAAAAAACATATTCTCAATAGTAATCGAAATGCATCTCTATCCGATGAGATTTATTAATTCTATTAATGGCATCTACACCGGAAGTAGGTGGAGAAACGGAGCAGAGCAAGTGAAGATCTAAAACCCAGCAAATTCACCTAAGAGACACCGAAATTCATCGTACAATCTATATGTATACGCATATTACGAAATGATTCCTAACAGTTTTAGCTAGAATATGATTGAAGCAAAACAAAGGAGGTCGAGGTCTACTTTTCGCTACCACGCGAAAGTACAATTTAACCAGTAGTACATTAATTTTTGTAATAACGACGTAAACTGAAGAAAGAACACCCAATAAAAATTTGGAATTGTCGCATTAACTTTTCGTGCACTGGTCACGTTACAGTCGCCGAGACAAAAACGGACCAATGCACAGGGAAAGAGAGACAAGACACGAAGGGAGAGAAATACAGAGGAGGATAGAAAGTAGATGACAAGCAGGGACGAGCGCAACGCGTTCAGTAAAGAAAATCACACCACGAACGTTTCAGGAATTCCGCAGGAGTGCCCGTGAACTTGATTTTGTTCACTGACCCTCGACCGTTGTTTAAAGTTTAAACTTTCTCTGATCGATACATCTCGTTTTAACGGAGGGACCTGCTGTTTCATATTGAACACACAGAAAACAAAGGAACTCCTTATAGAACGTGAGGAACGGTCCGTCAGTGGCAAGTTTTAATTGTTAGAAAAACTACGGTCGAAAGCTCAATGAAACAACTTCCTTAAGCTTTATCTGCATCGTCCAATATTTTATCGCTGCTGTTTGGTAAACAATTTGAATAACAGCGTAATAGGTACACGAAGTCCATTTTACTCGCCTACATACACTACATACGTATGTACGTACGCGTATATGTTTTCGACATTAGCTCTCTACCATTGTCAATATTATTGCGCAACTCGGAATATTGCGCGTTCCCTATTGAGCGTTTAGGTTCGAAGTGTTCTTCAAACCGACACGAAATTGGGAAAACGTTATATACTATCCTAGCCCCTGGTCTCGTTTTTGCGAGGATTGTCGTACTTGTACAGTTGTCTGTACGAAGATACGAGAGAAAGGTAGTATCTGTTATTATGTACAACCCAGGTACAAAGTTATACCGTACGTACATATGTATGTATATGGTTTCGAGCCAATCGGAAATCTTTGATGTTGTACGTACGCGTTATTACAGTTGCGGATTTGTGTTAATTGAATATTCACTCAATATACATAGACAATTCCTTGCGGATGACACTACTTCAGGTAATGAACTCTATGACCTTAGGTCTGAGACCTTTCCATTAGGTCATCTTTAAACTTTAGTGACATGCATCAGTTGTAACAGCAGTAAAATTTAAAAAATACAAATATTCACGAATACTTTTATACATTATGTAAGACGTATAAATTAATGAAGAGTTTCTGAAAGCATCACTCTGGTTAATTTGTACTGACGTAAATATTCATGAATATGTAATTATCATGTCGGCACAGAATTATGGAAATGTTGTAAAAGAAATTGCAAGTTCGAACGACATGTCGCTACAAAAAACCATTTGCATTTACGATGCGCGGTGCATGCATGAATCCATTTTGAAATTTGCGTATCTTTTTTACATAAGAGTCACGCATTTAAATTGTACATGAAATACGATCAGCTCGAGTGTTACATAGCACTTTGAAACATTTCGTTTTGTATTTATATCGATGGAAGTCATGCAAATTATTACTGTTGTAAAAAATGGAGAAGGCAGTTTCGGTAAAAGTGACCTTAAAGAAATTAACAAATATTTCATACGTCATGTTCATAGCATCTTATCTGTTATTGTATAGTATTTATCATGTCGTTATTAAATGATTTATAACTGTCGTATCAATTAATATATACTTCAATGTAATAATTTTATCGAAGCAAAAACATCAATTACTCTTTACTTTTAACTTTGTTCAGAACAATCTTTATGTTATATCGTAATGTTAAAACGCTACTTACATACAACGATTCCATGAGAAAGAGAGAGATGATCAAGACGCATGATAATAACAAGAATAAAGTAATCGACTTCGTGGGTGGGGTAAATCGCAGGGGTGTATCATGGTAGCTGGCGCTAGCGTAAGGCACTGGATCAGCTGGCTTGCGCGGTGTTACAGTGGGAACAGCAGAACGGAGCAGGTTCTCTTTGGAAAGTGACAGAAGAATTTCACGGGTAAGCGAATTAAAAAATAATGCTTGCTGCGAATAATGGGATTGCGTAATATACGGTCGTGCACATGTAGTTTGACGTAGCGGCAGGCGAGATGAAAAGTACGGTCGAAACCGTCGTCGTCTCTGCACTGCTGCGCGGCGTTTCACGAAATTCGCGATGTCGTTTTTTGAATGAAAATATGTCTGGCACTTGAGCACAGAAAATGGGTCATTCGTCGACGTGTAGTTTCTTACAAGAGTGGTCGATATTCGCTTAGGAACCGGGAAAAACCACTGGAACGAAAATCGTTTGACGCAAACACGAAAGTGTGCTACTGTGATGTCACGCCGAGGAGGAGAACAAACGATACGGGAGAGTGTGAAATAAATGTAGACACACATGCGAAAACTATAATCGATGCACGTTTTGTGCGGTCTTCCCTTTAGGTTATGCCGCGTTTCGCGAAATTCGCAAGCGCGGGTTCCATGAGCATTACCATACGCACATGCTCGATCAGACTTCGCCAACCGGCACTGGCTGACTCACGTGTATCATAACGATATCGATCGCTGGATCAGATTCAGCGTCGCTCGTTAATTTTGTATTATAATTTATGAGGGCTGCGTAAGGCTTTAACAGTCTTACTTGGAAGTCAAACTGCACTTCGATATAAATAGTGTAAAAAATCGATACGTAACGTCTCGCCAGTTACAGTGAAGCAATCGTTAAGATCGTTAGAATCGTTAACAATTACAAAACAAGTTTGGCAATCTCGGTGCTGCATCGATTAAATAAAGTACGTCTTTTATTCTTGCGTTTCCGTTTACCTAAAAATTAAACTTCGATGTAAACAAGTGATTTCGCCCGATCGTAATAGGTCTTTCCTTGTTTTTTCAATTGAAAGCAATAAGGGTAGACATAGAATCGTGAGTCAGAAAGCCAATCTTCTGGGTCGGGTCTAATTAGTGCAAATAACAGTTATGTAACAAGATAAAAAGTGTTCTTGTCAACGCGATAACTGCATCGTGTAAAATATCGTACTTGTCATTTTTGTATACGTATACTATTTGGTACATGTATATTTTTAATTGTTATAAACTATCCTTGGACCTCGCTTACTTTTATAGATATGACCGTTAATGAACGTCATCAGTTCCTTCCTTACCATTCCTATCCATCCTCTTGACATCAGCGAATTTACCGGTAAAGATTCAATCGACAATCTTTTTTGCCCGTAATCATTGAAGATCGAGAAAATAGTAACCCTCGAAGATGGAGGAGGAAAGACTAGACATCAACAAACCCCTGTGGGATCTGAGTACCTTTATAGGAAGATGGAAACATTTTGCTTGGGTGACTGACTTTCGTACTTGCATCGTCCCTGATTCCCAGTTACTCGAAGCGAAGAAACTATTGGAGGATTATAAGTAAGTACCCGGAGGAACGACTTGAGCATATGCAGCCCAATTTGAGGAATGTGTTACGTAAATATCGTACATCCGAAAATAATTTGCCTACCAAGCGAAAAAAATTAAAATACTATACGGACAATGGCCGGTATTCAGAGTCGTTACTTATTCTTAAGACCGTCTTAAACATTTGCTATCTCTGTCTATCCCATGTTTCCAGTCCTTGTCTTGCAAAGGAAACAGGGGCTTAAGCAAATGCTTAAGGCGATCTTAAATATAAGTAACGACTCTGAATACCGACCATTATTTTTAATATGTATCGGAAGCTCTAGTACACGTAGTCAAGTTCGTTGAACTCAAAAAGAGGAGTGAAAAGATCGAGAATTATCTATGTTATTAATAATTTATGTTGTAATCGCAATCATTGTATCGATTTGAATAAAAATGTTTGACGACTTGAAGCGTTTTTTAAACAGATCTTTTAATCAACTGATCGTAATCTGGAATTTTGCTCAAAATTGAAATCTCTATTCTCCATGTTAAATTTTTTAAGAATATAGTTATAATAAATCACAAATAAAATATTTATTAAAATTATATATAATATAAATTTTTTTCCGACGTCGTGATTTCGTACGTAAATACCTATCCCACACGTCCTTCCTTCTTTTTTACTTCTACGAAAAATCAATAGTCTGTTTATCTCTTAGACTTGGGAAAGAGCCAGCTGGTACAACCCGAGAGCAAATCATCTATGCTAAGAAGCTTTACGAGTCGGCCTTTCATCCCGACACCGGTGACCTGCAGAATGTCTTTGGCAGAATGTCCTTCCAAGTACCGGGCGGGATGGCTATCACCGGTGCCATGCTTCAATTCTACAGGTAATCGAATCCTTCCAACTTTTTACTTTTATTACATATTTCTTTGGTCTACGTCACGTGCTGTTACCAAGAACGACACGCTTGGTATGCAAAGCATTCCAAGTTCTAAAGTTCATCTCACTGGGAGTTCATTCTGAATGCGATTAACACTCCGAACTCTGAGACATTTTAATTTATACTTACAAATCGTGAACTGTTGATTTTGCAAGAAATACATATCGCTGCCCGTTGAATAATTATTGAAATATTAAAAAAAATAAAAAAATAGTCGTATGTGTTAGGAAAGAACATTTATTGTTATAGAACAACCACTGCCGTGGTATTTTGGCAATGGATGAATCAGTCATTCAATGCATTTGTCAACTATACAAACCGAAACGCTAACAGTCCCGTCACACTAAATCAATTAGGGATAGCTTATTTAAATGCCACCTCATCAGCTATGTTAACGGCAATAGGATGCAAAGCATTCTGGGCCAGAAGCGCAAACCCACTCATAATGGTAATATAATATTTTTAAATGATCAGAGTTAAATCCGTTATTAGCAGTAGTTGTTTTCAATTAATAAGATATGAAAATATTATTATTTAGCGTTACGTGCCGTTCGCTGCCGTGGCAGCTGCGAACTGCGTAAACATACCCTTAATGCGGCTGAACGAAATCACTAACGGCATAGACATTAACGATGAAAATGGCAATAAGTTAACAAAGTCAAAGGTACGGTAACAAAAGTCCTTTGATGGGTGATGCGCGATAAAGTTTTATCAACACGGACGAACCAAAAAAAAGATACTCATATCATTTTAGCTTGCGGCAGTTAAAGGTATCAGCCAAGTAGTTATCTCGAGAATCATTATGTGCGCACCTGGCATGCGTAAGTAAATGTCGAATAAAGTATGAGACCCGAAGTCGATCATGTAATAAAATAAAAATTAATCTGGTTTAGTGATCTTACCACCTATAATGGAAAGACTGGAAAAATACGCTTGGATGCAAAAGATCAAGCCGTTACATGCACCAATACAAGTTTTATTCGTAGGCTGTTTGTACGTATATTTAAACTTTCGTCCATATATGTATAACGAATAAGAGTAAATTTATATGAATAAAAATATTCCAGCTTAACGCTTATGGTCCCCACGGCGTGCGCGTTATTCCCGCAGAAATGGTAAGCTTATACTCGTACATATTATCAGTACTGTTTATCATTTCAATTGTTATGAAAATTATGATGTTCCAATCGTTGAGAAATATTCCTACCGAATTGTGATATTATTTTAACAGCTCAATAAAATCGAGTTCGTTAGAACGCTGGGAACCGGAGAATTACGAGATTTTAAAGGAAAATTGTAAAACCGGAGAATTACCTACGTACTTATATTTCAACAAAGGTTTATAATCATGGGAATTACTACGATGAAACCCGAAGGTGCTTTTTTATTATCCAGTATGAAATAGAAACTAATAATGGAATTGAACGAATTTCCACGTACGATATGTCGTCAAGGTACTCTTAGTCGATTCAGAGGGTGAAGAATTAATTCCGATGAGAAGAATGAATTGCGGCTGCATTTTTAATTTTTATTATGTACAGCAACATATTTTAATCATAAGTGTCAGTATAAACATGTATGTCATGGCATTTTAATACTCATTATTCTATTCCCAAAAACGGCATCCGTCTCTTACAATAGAAATAACGATACAGCCATTAACAAGTAAATATGATGGCAATAACTAAACTTGTCTAATACGATCAATTATCTTACTTTAATTTAATTAGCTATATTTGTTAATATTGTACCATGATCTGGCTGCGTTAGATTACATCGCTAACCCAGGGACTGAATTTCTCATACATAAGTTTCGAAACTGTACTTATACAAATAGTTTACAATTGTTTTTTTACTTTTTTAATAGAAAAATGTAAATTTGTTTTTAGAAAAATATAAACATAGAGACAATAAGTACTTAATATAATAGTCGCAATGCCCCTGGGTGAAATTTGCACTCTTAAATCTCAAATGACCGTCAATATCCTATTGTTACTACCTCCCGAAAGTGTTACAAGAAAAATGCTGCCATGTATTTTTTAGTAATGTTACAATAAATATCATGGAAATTAAATTTGAACAAGTTTATTTTATTCATAATGTTCATATCATAATAACGACACAACGTTAATGATCGATCCTGTCGATCGATTTTCATTCCTTAATGGGAGTAACGACGGCGGCAGCGTAGTGGCGAAGACTGGAGACCAGTAATCGCTGCGTACTTTTTCCTTAATGGGAGATTTGGTTACGAATAACAGACGATGAAAAATAGTAAGACGTTTGACAATTCTTTTTAAATACTTTAATTAAACATGACGTCGTTGTATTGATGACGAATATTTAGACTTTCTTATAATTTCTTTTTAAGTTGCGATTTAAAGATCCTTAAGAATTACGCGTAAAATTATATGTTAGGTCGGGTATGTGTCGCTTGATTCTGTTGCGGCATATACCCGATCCGCTCTTGGATTTCACTTTGTGGCACTTTAGTACCCCACACAGGGGGATACAAAGCCTGCTGTCTTTCCTCGCATTCCTTCTGGAGTTGAAGACGCGTTCGCATGCCCTCGTAGTCCCGCAGATCGTCTAGGCGTAAATCGATTCTCGTCGGGCTGCGTCGTATCATGTTACTGGGGAAGAATCCAACAATTTTTTTATTTAGTATAAAAAACTGTTGTTACACACCTATCATTATTTGAGGAACAGTTGCTAACAGAATTTTGAAAAACATACATTTTTGTATCTTTAGTTTTGCAAAACTTCGTTCGAATAATTAAAGAATGTTTCAATTAATAATTAAACAGTCAGGAATTTGAATGATAAAGTATAAAATAAATACAATACCGAAGATCATAAGAAGAGATAGAATATTACAGATGAGAATATCGAATTGAATTTATTTACATCGAAGATTAAAATATATTGCAAGGGACAGCCGAACAATATGAAGACATCCCTGAAGGTACGTTTTCATACAGCGAATAATTCGCTGCGAGTAATGAGCAGCGAGTAAATGCGAGTGTTCGCAACTAACTGAAGTATTCCAACTTTTTGCGACTATTCGCTAGATCGTCATTTTACAAACAAAAATTTTACACACAGTTAATTGCATCACTCGCATTTGCTCCCTTTTTGCTGTCAATTATTCGTTGCATGAAAACGCACCCTGAGCGTTAGGTTAAAATGGCGAATTATAAGGAATAGATAACTGGCCAGTAATAATTTTCAAATAAATATCATTACCCGGAATGCATAGATTACTGAGCCATATTTATTCGCGAGAATGATATTTTTTCCACGATATTTCGGCAAAATCATTTGCAGATTCGCGTGAATTAAAGAATTAGCGTGAAAATGTGGGTACAACAAGGGATTTGGCCGCCGTAAACACGCTTCCGATCGAGTGCTACGATTTTCGTTAATTTTGCCACGGCGGCAAGCACTCCACTTTAGTAAATTGTAAATAATTGTAAATTAAGCACCAGGTAACGAAACGGCAGCACGAAAGGATGCTTTACTTGGAAGATTATGTTGAAAGTACGTAAAAACGAGGCATGCTCTGCTTACCCAGCTTCTCAAGAAAGTTACTAACCTTCCCGAATATACTCCCTCGTGCAAACATCAAAAACTCTTCTCAAAGCGTGTACCTTTGTAGATATTGCGTTATCGCACGCAATCATTTAAATGTTGCTTTTTATTTTACTATCAAATTAAACGCCGCCTATTATGAACGATTATACGACATACCATTCCCTTTAAGTTTTAGGTTAGTTATATGTTTTCTAAATAGACAATAGCTGATTTACTCTTACTAATATATTTTGAAGTTACACTGTAACTTCAAATATTTCTTATGAACAGACTACAGACATTGTAATGATTGTAATGATTAATTAAACGTTGTTTCTCCTTTACTTTATACACCTTTTTATTTTGATTTTGTTTGGTTATGTTCACCTTCTTTTGTGGTTTCAGTGATCGAGCACCTACCACAAGAATTAAGAGACAGGTTTACAGAAATGAGAGAAATGGACTTAGGTGTACAGAGTATGTGCACTATTATGCAACAGACAAGCTTCCGAAACACTTATATGCAAATACAATTTAATACCACTGGTGAACGATCCTGATGTTTCTTTCAAACATTGCAGATTCAATGGACAGTTTAGAAAAAAAAGTTAAAATCTTCTTCGCAAACGCGAAGAAAATGAAACCTAGCGAAAAGGAAGTAGAATACGAAACCATTAGAAGAGAGTATTACAAAACCCTGGAGGATGCGGATGAGAAGGTGCACTTAGCTAATCAGATGTACGACTTAGTAGATAGATATTTAAGGAGATTAGACCAGGAATTGCACAAATTTAAAATGGAGCTAGAAGCGGATAATAAAGGTATCACGGAAATACTAGAGAAGAGATCATTGGAATTAGATCAACCACCTACAAATAGCAGCCAAAAAGAAAATCGGTATAGCTTTACAACGTCCAGTAGGTCGAGAGACAATCACAGTCATTGTACGTATACCTTCGCTACGCGTATGCGATGCGTAAATGATTTGGAATTACATTTTATGTTCTTACAGCACGAGCGGAAAAGAGAAGAGATTCGAACGCATCCTCCACGTCAACAGAAAAACGATTAGCTTTAGAAAAAATTTCTCCAAGTCTTCCTGAATCGCGACCAGCTTCTGCAAATTCAGGACCAATTATCGCTGCTACGAGCGTGCCATCTACTCCTACGGCAATCGCGAATTCCGTCGGCTCCGTAAGTTATAATCTCGGTCATATCGGAGCCGGCGGGAATGCCATAGCAGCTGCAGCATCACAGGCGATCGCCGCGACGCAGCAGATGCAACAGGGCAGACGTACTGCCAGCTTAAAAGCTAGTTACGAAGCCATCAACACTGGGGGTGTACACGCGGCCGAATTTAGTAGAGAATTGGCTGGCGCTGCACAAACCGCTATCGCAGCTATTCAAGAAACAACTAAAAAGCATAAAAAGTATGCATCCATCACAGGCCTGTGCAACCGTGAACCATAAAGGATGGCCTCGTCCTTTCTTTAAAAAATCGTTGCTTATTTTAGAAAAGTAACAACCGCCGTTCCGAGTTCGAGCGTAGTCGCCGCTACTGTTCAACAACCTGTATCACCTCCAGTTATAACTACGAACACACAAGTCGTAGATTCGGATAATCCGGATTGGACTTACGATCCGAACGAACCAAGATATTGCATATGCAACCAAGTATCGTACGGAGATATGGTTGCTTGTGACAATTCAGATGTAAGCAGAACATATTTCTATCGTTATATCTTTGTATTAAAAGATGAACGTCAATATTGATAATAATTAATTTTCCTTTATGATCTCTTATAGTGCCCTTTCGAATGGTTTCATTATCCATGTGTGGGTATCACTGCACCGCCGAAAGGCAAGTGGTACTGTCCCCAATGTACATCTTCTATGAAGAGGCGCGGAGGTCGGAAAAACTGATTGTACTGTAATCAGTGGAAATATAATGAAAAAAAATTGATACTACCTCTTAGGCACTATCCGTCAAGTACCAACTTAGTTAGGAAGCTATTAATTCTGATTTTATATAACTTTTTAAATATGTTTAAAATTTAAGTCGTGATCTTAATCTGGTCTTTGCTCTTGTTCAACGAAACTTGAATTTCTAAAACAGAAGAGAGCAGTTTTTTTTACTGCGTTTCGTAGGCGTTAACGAACGGATCAAATGGTGCAAAAAGTGGGCTTCGAACAAAATTTAGTTTCACCCGAGAACGTTACGAGAGTATCTTTTGATACTTTTTGCACCATTCTTCACCGCGGAAACAGTTAGATAGTTTATACGAATTTACATTTGAAAGATGATCTTTCCCCTCTGGTGATACGTAATACGATTCATCGACTGACACATACGCCAGAGATCGATTTTCGCTACGAATTTTTCGAAATTTACGTTTTTTAGTTCAGATGATATGAGACGAACGTCGAGCAATCTTCGTATATTTATGTCTTCGTGTTAGTTCAGACGCGCTTAGTATCTCGCTGGATTGGCCATTATGCGAGCAATAACGAGTTTTAAGTGTTCTACGCTTTCAGAAGAAACTTGAAGCAAATGAGAAAAAAGTACGACAAGGAGGGAAAGGATAACAAACTCTGAGAATACTACTTTCGAAACGAAGGAATGTAACAACTTGATGTATAAATAAAGCGAACGATGCAGATTTGTCATTTGTGTTATTATCTACGTTTATCTACGCTGAACGTAAAACCCCGATTTAGTAACTCTGTTCAGCATCATAACTGCGATTCGTTAAATCGATAAACTTCGATCTCTTTTATCGTTTTCGGGTCACAGGGTGACCGCGATCTGGTTAACCAGCGATGTACCTAATAGATCAGAAAAAACGCATCCTTCGAAAAAGATGTCATTGAAACGGTTTTGTACTGAAGCAAGGAAGTACGCCTGTCGCCGGTAATTTTTATGAATGACTTCCTCCAAAGAACACTTTATTATTTCAAGTTACATTCGAATCGCCGACGTAGAAATACAAACAAAAGGAAAAAACCAGCGTAATTATGATGCTGATTCATGACTGTTACCGGGAATTTATAATTGTTGTCCTTCTTCATTTCAGAACACATCTGACCTTGCCTATTTACGTTCCACTTCGAAAATTTTACATGTACCACCACTTTTATTCACTGAGAAAGATTGAATAACGTTGTTACATACTGTCTATATATAAATGAGGATGTAAAAGGAAGTAATTTGTGGATAAATTGCTTGGTGATACATTTTAACACATTGTCACAGGAAGGATTTACTCCTGTGACTATGAAACTGCCCATTATTTTCGTTCCGAAAGAATGTACGAGTTAATGCGCTTCTGTAAAACTCGCTGCAGGGTATTCTCGTTATATATAAATCGACGAGAAGCAGTTGATTCAAAGTCTCGTTTCGAACTCGGTTCACTCTCGTCGAGTACTTAGTAAAGAGAACGCTTAACGTCTGATCATGTTCCGTGGGCTATCAGTAGCCTTCTTCGTTTGCCTCTTGAGAAATAGCGGCGTAGCGCAACTGACTTTTGATAACACAAATGCGTCGCCAAGTACGTAGAAAATTAAAGAATTTTTATAAGTACACTTCTCTCTTCTACTAAAATATTAATTGATTTTTAAGGCAATAATGCCAACAACTGCCGTTGCCTCTCAGCAAGTCAGTGTTCCTCTACGAATCCGGCGGATCCGGCAATTGACATTCGAATTGTTAACCCAGTGCGTATAAAATAATCTGTAGCAATTTAAATAAATTCTGTCATAGTTAACAAAAATTTGCTACTATTTTCGGAGTATATATCGTTTTGTATAAATTTTTCGAGGGCGCTAATAATTGCAACAGTGGTCAAGTGTATTGTTGCCCGGGGTCTTCTTCTGGAAATGGCGACACACAAAGCTGTGGAATCAGGAAAATCTCGTTATCTTCGCATCCTCAAGGTCAAGCTAGTTACGGTGCATATCCTTGGCAAGCTGTGCTTTTAAATTCCAATAACGGTTACGTCGGTTCTGGCGTACTCATTACACCAAATCATGTTTTAACTGTCGCTCACAAAGTATCGTCTTACACGTGAGTAACTTGGGTTTGCGGTTTAATTCTTTTAAACGAAATATTAAGTTCTCCCCTAAATGTTCTACAGAACCGGTGGGCTTAAAGTGAGATTAGGAGACTGGAATGCACAAACAACAAACGAACTTTATCCAAGTCGGGAATATACAGTTCAAAGAATATCTATACACCCTCAATACAATTCTGCAAATCTACAGAATGATGTGGCTGTAATAACTCTGAGCGGCACCGTCCCTATCTCAACTAGTCCTAATATTAATACTGCATGCCTTCCTACAGCCCAGCCTGCAAGTGGTACGAGGTACGCAGAAGATTCTCAAACTTATTTTCAATTTTGTTTTGGCTATCATCTCGAAATAATTCTTTATCACGAATGTAATTAAAAAAATGAATTTTTTTAAGATGTTGGGTGTCAGGTTGGGGAAAAGATGAATTTGGAACAAGCGGCCAATATCAAAGTATAATGAAGGAAGTAGACGTGCCCATTGTTGACCAAACAGTTTGCGAAAATGATCTGAGGACAACGAGACTCGGGCAATCGTTCGTATTGAATAGAAATAGCTTTTTGTGTGCAGGAGGGGAGCAGAACAAGGATGCGTGCACAGTAAGTATTTAAATTAACGATGATTGATCGTTTGAAAATAATCTCGTCACAAATGTTTCAGGGCGACGGTGGTTCGCCATTAGTTTGTCAGTCTGGGAATGCGCAATGGCAAGTAGTAGGAATGGTTTCTTGGGGCATTGGCTGTGCCAGCAGAAATGTTCCTGGTGTGTACGTAAATGTATATAATTACGTTCCATGGATATCACAGCAAACGACTCAGAGTAAATAATTACGACACGCGAAGTACAATACATGTAATTAATATTTGCCAATCTGTATGAAACGCAACATGACAATTGTATACTCATATCTTTTTAAGTACTTCTACAACCTTTATGATTTATTTCTGCGAGAATATACTTATATGCGCTGTATTTAGAAACTTGTAAATATTATTGCATTTACGATTATTATTACATACATATTACTGGTACATGTAATAAATATTATCGATTACATATTAGTTTTCATATATAATTGTATGCTTCCCCTCGATGTCTTATTGATAAAAAAATTAATCTTATACGTATATCAATTGAAAAAGATATACTTGTGTTGGATTACAATTTTTATTTTTCCCGATAAGTGTCAGGAATCAATGTTTGATTCTTTTAATTCGCGATAATACTCGAAGGATAATGATCAACAATAAGTGTTGCTCCTCCTCCTTTAATGTGCATGCCTATCGCGACATTGATTAAGTAAACGGATGTTTTTAACTTCTACGATTGATAACGGAGACGGTGTATTCATTTATCGGATTATATTATTTTCACTTGCGTAAATAATAATCGAAGCGTTTGTTGTAAATAGGAGCAAGTACTTCAAGTGAATCGGAGGTTCAAACTAAAGAGAGATAAAGCCGATTCATTGAAACACGTACAAAATCTTTTCTCGATTACTTTTACGTGATTTCAGTATGTGTTATTTATTTGAACAATTGTAGAGGTCAGCGATTTGTTTTAAAGTACCTTTTTATCTGATAATGATATCTGACAAGGTTATTGAAAATGGAAAAGTTTCTTTTCTTCTGTGTTATCAATGAAAGGAATGGACAAGATAGTGGACATATATAACCCCTCACTTACGACCACTTGCGCGTGACCCGTGCAACTGAAGCGCGCAACGAGCTGGCAATTACTTTTATAAGTCGCCATCGTTACCCCCGCTCCTTCCGCACTTACAATAGACGATGTAGACACTATACATATTTAAAATATCAGATAAATACTGCATTTAATTTCTTTTTTACAAACAAATTTCTTTTGTACCGGTTTGAAATTATTTTCCAGAAAAAACAGTTTTTTGAAAATAAAATCGTAGAATTATTTATAGCATACAAATGAGTTACATGCAGCATTTATCTGGCATTTAACTCCACTTTAGTGTTTCTAATTTCAACGTAGCGAGGATTTAGCTTTTGTAATCAATTGTGCAGTGTGCATTGTGCAGATGTGTATGTATAGGAGCTGTGGCTGTGGCACATACATATAATGTGAAATACACGGTCAAAACGAGAAACATGGCGGATAACGATGTAAATGGTGATTCTGACGAGGTGCAACAAGAGAAATCACAGAAAAAGACAGCAAAATATGATAGCGGTGCAGCAGATTTGGAGAAAGTTACGGATTATGCGGAAGAAAAGGAAATATCCTCATCCGATGGCTTCTCTTGCGTGAGTGTTTGTCGTAATTTCTATCCCACGTGTTTACGGTCGATGACAACATAGTTTATTAAGCATTTTTTCTGCTTTTTTTATGATAAAAATTTAGATTTCGATCTCCTTAATCCGGTTTCCGTCACATTTTAATCTATTCGCATTGTTATTTATCGAATTTTGATTTATAAATGAATGATCATGATATCTAACCTATAACGTTTCTGTACAAGATGATTAATAAATGATTTTTCTTTCTCTGCAGGCGTTAAGTATAATCGGAGACCGTCGGAACAAGGAAGCTGCCGAGAAGAAAGCAAAAGAGAAGGAAATGCTCAAAATTCCTATAAAGAAAGAAGACGTCGATCTCATTGTAAGATATTTTTAATGATCATGAATATCTTTCATGCTACCAACTGGTTATCTATTCTATTTAAAATATTTTCCCAATTTTTCTAACTACAATATTTGTGGAATTCTGTTGCAGATGAAAGAAATGGAAATAAATAGAAGTATAGCAGAACAAACACTCAGGGAACACAGAGGAAACATTGTGGAAGCATTACTTACTTTAACAAATTAACTGTACAGCATGAAATTCAATCAAACGTATTTGTATAAGACACAATTTAATTGTAAATTATATGGTCTTAGGAATTGTTAAGATTTTGGGTTATTAATAATTTATTCATGTATATTATATAATATACTATAAGTGATTCTGTATACTTCTCTTTTTATTATTTTATTTGCCTATCCTCTTTTAACTAAGGACGTACAGACTATAACGCATACTAATGAGAGATTGAAGAGTATATTAAATCTCAGGAAAATATAACTCAAGTTCAGATTGTACGTGTTATCAGGGTGTTCCCACTTGATAAGATTGTACCTTTTATATGTGCAAAATGTATTTAATGGCTTAGTTTACAGCTACATGTTTAGCTGTTTGCAAAAGAGTGAACCTTTTTGTAATAACTGAATTTACTTTACGTAAAAATAAGATCTGGAGATAAAAAAAAATCATACAAGATCCAACCAAATGTCGAATTGAATTCGATTAGAAAATTCTTGTGTCTTAAATAATGTAATTGTATTACATCTTTGATAAAACTTTCCGTACGATGATAATTATCATCGGACTTCAATAACTATCTATACGATGAATTATTTAAATAATAATACAGGTGTGTGCAGTTTATTAATTTTATATTTTGTTAATGTATTGTCCTCTTCGAATTATATTTATAATTTGGAAACATTTGTCGAATAGAATTAAATGTCACGTCTTTATCTGTAAGCGATCTCGTTGATTTACTGCCCAGTGATACAGATAATTGCCCGACGTCCCCGAAACGAAAAGGTAAGCTCGACTCAAAACTATTAAAACGATAGTTCCAGAATCAGTATATCTTTACGTTTCCTTTTTTCCTTCTGGAATTACGATTCTCATGCTATTCTGCGTGCAGCTATTAAAATTGGTAAGTTTTAAATGAGTGCCATAATTCTGTATCCCATTATTATCTTCTGTGTCTATGATGAGTCTTTTAAATAATTTTTTTAGTGATAATAATTAGAACACTGTTACAGCAACACAGATGATAATTTTTCTGATATTCGTATTCGGCATATTTTTCGCAATTTTGATGTATTGCAAAACCTGCACCAGGTACGAATTTAAATATCGTAATAATCTTATACTTTTGATTAGAAAATGCGAGATAAAAAATTACAGTTCTATTTGTCAATGAAAAGAAATTAGAAAAATAATTAGGAATGCAAAGAGAATTAATAATCGCGTTAATATTTCTTTTAAATGTGTTATATCTTTAAGAAGACTTTGTAGGGGGCAAGATCTGAGGTATCCCGAGATTCCCGAGGAGAGCGCATGTGAAAGTAGTCATAACACTCATAACGGAAATGCGGCTTCCATGCAACTGCATTATTCAGTTTGCGAACCAATTGACAAACCACCGTCCTACACCGAAGCGTGCAGTGCTCCATCACTTTACGAGCCCCCAATTATTGGGGTACGTTCATTTTGCTTCCATAATTAATTCAATAATTAAAAAATGTTGAAAGAATGAAAAATAATCGACACGCACAATGAGCTAATACTATCGCTACAGCCATCTCTTCATCATTAGGCGATGACAGATAAGAAAGTATTTTATCGTGCAACCTCCTCACACCATGTTTACTTGTGTTCTACAGATATCTACGCTCGAACCACCGCCAGTTTATCCAGGAACCCCGAAACCGTGTGAACGAATATCGCATTCGAGCGATCAACCACTTCCGATTACGAATCATATTTAATACGCGCTTGTTGTTGAGTCATTTTGCGTTATCAGTACTCAGAATTAATTAAGTTGATGTAAGATATTTTAATAAAATCTCAATCAACTTTTGTAAATAATATAAGTAATTTTTAAGCAAGTAGTTTTTGTTTAGCAATTGTTGTTTCTAATTTGACAGAACGCTAGGCGTAACTATATTATTAAGGTACTTAACTAGATATTGGGGATAATGAAGAATCACGTAAAATTCTCATGATTATATAATGAAAATGTCATTTATTTGATGTGGTGCAATGACTTAAAGTAAATGGAAAAATGAACGTTTGTATGAGCTGGGTTTCGATGAACAGCAGTCATGTACTTCGGAAGCTACTACTGCTGAATTCGTTACAAAAAGCTTCATACCTTTCATCTCATCTTTTGTTTCCTCGAGTTTAAATGCAATATACAACGGAAGTGTATCAGACAGCGACGCAGTAGTAGCTAGCTAGTGCGACACGAACATGCTGGTTTTCATGATGAGGTAACACTTGTCTTACTTGTACTTAGTTTATCAAATTATCCAGTCATACGCTCATGCAGATTGGTTCAAAAAAGAATTGCATCTAATAATTCTCGAACTGTCATACGATATTAATATTTAGTATCGTTTTTTGTTTTTCTCTTAGGAAAAAGACATTCAACATTACGATTTTCATGAGATATTTTTTTTTTTCGCCGCACAGTCCCAAAGATAGAATATGGGTAGTAGAATGGACGTAGACAATTTTCTCGTTCCTTATCTTTCCTTATTTCATTTTGACATTAAAATCCGAGCGAGCACACACGGCCAAAATCTGTTCCTTAAACTGCTTATAATATTTTGTGTATCCTCCGGTTTCCCGTTATTCTTTACTCCGTTTTGTCGTTTCATCTTTTTAAGCCCTAACGATCTACTACGACTGAAATAAACATCGTGTAAAAAACAGTGGAAAAACCTTCCCTAACTATTTTTCCATAGGAGTTTTCATTTTCTTCCCCCTTTTTTTTATCCCGACAGAAACGCAATCTGTACAAGCGAATGCGCGCACGTGTCGAGATGAAAAAGTACGGGATACACACATATACAATCTAATCGTATTAATTTGTCGTAATTACAATTACATTTACTTAAAGCATTGCTAGTGTGTTTCAAGGAACATGAGTTTAGCACAGTCTGTAAAATAGAATAAATTATAGTTGGTTATTGTACACTTCGTTAAAAGTATGGTTCCGTTTCGGTTCAGTTCTTATAAAATACAATAGATATGTACAGTAAAAACCTTAAAATCGAAAGGGACGCTAGATTTGGGACTGTCCGGATATAGCGACCGTTTCCTTAAAAGATAAAATTCACTGGCTGCCAGGATCGTCAGAAAGTTCTAGAAAGGTTGTGATACAATTGCGGTTAATTACAGTGGTCTTATCACAGAACATGTATGGCATTAAATCTTCGATATCGTTACTCCATTTTAATGGATACGGTTATTTATCTCGTATTTAAAACGTTCGGTAAAGCTAGGTCGGAGGATCAGGAAGCCAGTACGGTACTAAATGATGATTATTGTTTTGCGTGTTCTCAGTTTTCCGGTTGCCCATAATTTCAGATCATTGACCACACAATTCTTTCCGATCTTGATAAGTAATTACACAAAAAACGATTAATATTTTCGTACTATATAATTGACTAACTTTTTTTTATTTTACACATTTTCATTTAATGGTTTTTTTTGTTTTTCTTGTGTCTCTCGCTAGATTGGCTTCTTTTTCTCGGTGTTATGATTTTTTGTTCGCTAATTAACATCGTACATCTCATTAATTTTATCTTCTATACCTTTTGCGATCATTCTCTGATTAATACAAATTCCCATGTATCCTGTGCATGGGTCCTGATAAACAAGTTCAATAATAAAGCAACATAAAATTCGATAAATTATGGACAACCCTAAATTTAATACAATAGAATAATAATAATATAATAATATAATAATAATTCGAATCTATCACTTCAGCTACTATGCAATACTCGAGAAAAACAAAACAAACTGTGCCTAGTGACAAAAAGAGGGTCAGAAAATAAAAAGAAAGGCCGCATGTTGGATCGAAGGGCGTAAGGGCGGTAATCTGCAGACAAAAAATATACAAAAATACGGGGCACAGATTGCGTTAGCATTAATAGTAATCATAGTACTAGTCGTACATGTTGAGAGAAAGAGATCATAAAAAACACTAACTAGAATCATTTTCTTCTTCGTTCTTGGAAGAATTCGACGATTTTTTTTCCTTTGTTAATTCTTGTTTAAAATTAAAAATCACTATCCGTAATAAACATATCTAATTTCTCTTTGTCGCCTGTTTCTGCGACAAACAAACAAACAAACAAGGTGTAAGTCTCATTTGACCCATTTTCTTTTCTTTTTTCTCTTAGACAAAGGAACAAAATTGATCGTCTGGTCGACATCTATCACAACTTCCTTCGTGCATGCGTGCGGTATTTCCTCTTTCCTCTCGCGTATAAGTATGTGCATGTACGTGTAGCAATGTTTCAGCGAGCTTCAATCTCGCCTTGGTCCTCTCTCGTTGTGCTCCTCATGTCTTCCTTGTCGCCGCGTGAATGATTTTTGACCAAACATTCAACGATCCACGTCGTAGAAGCGAGAGCAAATAAATTCATTCGTCGAGATCCTAATGATGCGCAAATAGCTGACAAGGTGTTTCCATTTGGAAGGATGAAAACATACGTTCCTCTCACACACGAGAACCTTTACGTCACGCACAATACAAAGTACCAAAAGAATTCTGTTTAAAAACCAGTTGCGTTACAAACTCGTCAAGGTTTATTCCGTTTCCATTGATCTTGTTTTGTTTCCTCTTCTCCGTGATAGGTTTCTTCGCAAACGTCGAAAAACTTCCCGAATTACAACAAAGTCTGCCATAAGTTTAACCGCGTTCCTCATCTCGAACTCGTGGTTTCAACTCGTCGGCTGCAACGCCGTTGATAGGACGATATATCATTTATCGTTCCGAAAACCGACAACGAAGGCCAGTTTTCGTCGATGATTCCTTTCTCAAGTGGACCACAGAGGATGGCGCGCACTAGGAAACATTTATTTAGCACTACTTGTATCACTGTACACAAATAAGTCATGAAGGATGCAGAATAGGCGGGGGCGATGTGGAGGTTGTGCCCGGAGTCAACGGTGACTGTTTTCAGCTCTGTTTAACTCGCTTCCTGGGCGGTCCGATCGGTGGAATTTGTTGGGTCGCTAACGCCCGAAACGCTTCCGCTATGAGATGCGGATGGGAGTTCACCATCGACTTGAAACCCGCCGTATCCATCACGTCCGTCGCGTGTCTGAAACGTGAACACAACGAGATGTTCCGAATATTGTTCGATTTAAAAAAATGTCGAAATATAACTGCACATCCAAGAAAGTACTCACGTATTAATAAAATCTATGGCTTGTGCCTTGAGTTGATCGGCGCTGTGGAGATCAGCGAGGATCAGAATGTCGGCTGCGTTTTCGATTGCTAAACTTGTGCACAACGCTTCCTCGCACATGACTTTCAACCTTTCCAATGCGTACTTATCCGCCGCGGCGAGTAGATCATCTGCCATCTTCTCCAAATTCGCTGCTTTCCCGGTATATATAAATCGCAGCATCTCCCGCAATACCTCGTGGTCCACGTCAGTAATGTCCACGCGATTCTGTTTCCTTTCTTCCATCTCGTGCTCGAACATCGCCGAAAACACGGGACTTCGCGCTGAAACACAATACCGTAACGTGAAAAGATAATCTGACCCAATGTAACAACAAATCAGACTGCGGCATTTCATTGTCGAATAAAACATTTGGAACAAAAATGAAAGCGTAGTATGCCTTTGATGTTCTGCATATAAATACGCAAAATTCAGAGGCTACAAATAATTGTTTGAAAGTGAATTTACCCGCAAGGATGGCTTTGTGCGCCTGAAATTCTCTCCCGCACACCGTCAGCGTAACATCGCTGAATTTTTGGTTTTCGAACAGAAGGCCAAGGTCGTCCGGTAATCGACACTCGGGCACTTTGAATTGTATAGTATTACTTTGTCCAGAAATGTTCACGCTATCCGCAACCACGCTGACCTGTAACATTTAGAATTATAAATTTCGTCCACAGTAAAGGATTGGCGGATATTTACGGATATCAAGTATGTAACATACAAAGGTATATACCTCACAGAATATCGTGAGTTTATCGTCGGGCAAGAGTCCGTTGGCTTCGTCCAACAGGAAATCTCTCCTAATGAACTTCTTAAAACCCCAATCTTTACCTTGGACGAACCTGTAAGCACGTTGGCTTTCTGAAAGCATAAAATTATCCCTGTCTCATCATTTCTGTCTGAATCTCTCCCCTTCTTAGAAAACTCGTTTCATATCGACGTCTAATCTTGTTTTCAAGTCCTTTGGAAATTCTCACACAATTTTACAATAAAAGAATCATTAGTATTCACATGATCACAGTGTCAATGGAAATCTTTAAAATACCCTGCATTGCATCCGTTCGAGTAGTCAGGTACTTACCCATTGCTTTGGTTTCTTCTCTTTTGGCATTAAGAATAGAAAATTTGAACTTTGCTCTGACTTCGGATTTGTTGCACGAAACGAGGAGGAGGTACAGAGATAGGTAGTCTTTGCTCTCCTCATCCAGACCCTTAGGATTCACTCTTAGGCACCTAAAACCAATTGTCACAAATTCGTTTCATGCAATTTCCATTCCCGTATCCTGTTTATCCTTATATTACGTTTTATTTTTATTCGTACAAGATACCAAACGACACCGCTTCGGAATTTATATGAAATCTTCTGATCTACTTCTCAAGACATATACTCGAAACACACGCACGATTCTTTATTATATTTTAATAAAACAAAAGACAAAATCATAAAATTTAGAGTTACATTCAATTAATAAGGCAAACATAATTAATGACAACTTAAAAATTTATTAATATAATTAACATTAAAAGAGATTTATGGTAAAAATGTGCAAAGGACGGGACGTCCTGTAGCAGCGTTTTTGGTATGCAATGCAAAGAATCTTAAACAATTTTATCGTGATAAATTTTCAACGATCAAATCCAAACGTGAAATTATTTTTGCGCGGCATAGGCAGCTGAAAATCGAGGCAGATCTTACCATTTTAATTTATCGTTGGCCCCTGCTGAGAAGGTAGATGACTTTAGCACTTCTCCCATTTCCTCCCGGCAAAAGCTGAAGTTATTTATCGTCCACATGTAGCTGAACTTAACCACCTTCACCTGTGCACATAAGACCTTCAAATGCGACACCACGTCAGAATATATACCGAGGAAACTAGCTTAATCTATCTACGTTAAGAGTAGAACGATTCTGTCTGTCTTCAATTAAGTACAACTTATTGTTCGATCCAAGGAGTCGTCCTTCGGATTTGCAAAAAGAAAGTATAATTGTATACATAGTGTCCGAAACTGTTCTCTTTATAACGTAAACGGTTTCTATAGATAGATTAAGCTATAGTTCTTCTCTTCATCTCAAACCCCATTTTCTTTTATTTCTGTTTTATACCACGAGTCCATGAAACGAAAAGTGAAGTGGAAAATTCGTTTTGTCAATTCGAACGAAACAGGAAACGAGTATTAAATACCGTCGTCGTTGGGAACACAATCGACTAACGCAGCTAATGCATTCTAAACGCAACGTAAAAAACAAAACCGGAGGAAAAATACGATTACTGTTTTTTTTTTCCAGCTGCGTGACCAATCCTCCTCCTCCTCCTCTTATCGCTCGCGATTGGAGAAGACCTTCCGTTACGTCGTCTGGTTTTCAGACTACGCATAACAAAACTCGTGAAACACACACACGGTCGCGTCACCTCGGCACGTGTGTACGTACCGAACGGTTTCCTTGTCCTCGGGTATATTTGTTCACTAGTTTTGAACGCGTGGCTCCAAGCAAAACGACAGGAAGAAAAAGAGATAGATAAAAAGAGAGCTAACAGAAGTTCTTTTTGAGAGGAAAGTCGAAGGTCCCTACGACTAAATTGATCGTGGCCTTCAAGTAGCGAGCAGACGAGCCGGGAGAAGTACTACAAGTACAGGAGGCACGTGTTGGAGCGAGAAAGAGACGGAGCCAGGGTCGAATTGAACTTATATCTCTTATGTAATTACCTTGAAAATGTCGCGTAGAAAAAAGGACTTAATAGTGGAAGCAAGCTCTTCTCTCTCTGTGACTTGTTAAACAGTCGATCCATTTCATAACCGGTTGTTATTTTTTAAACAGCGTACATTTCCGGGATTTTATATCTTTTAATAAACAGGAAATTAGAAAAACTTAACTCCTCTTAAGTTGTAAGATTCTGTTTTCAACTGTACAAGAATTATTCTATTTGAGAGTCGAAAGGATTAGTGTGAAATCCGTGGGTTTAATACTGGATTCTGCACGTTACGAAATAGCTTGCAGGATGGAGAATTGCATTCCGTAAGGGTCAAACGTTTCGATTCATCTTTAGGTATCTAAGTGGGCGTCGATTATGATGAGCAAGAAACGCGGTGTGTCGTGTAACGGAGTCCGGTTGCTGTGAAACCTTTTGCTTACTGCAGTTCGAGATACGCCAAGGGCAGTTCACACAATTCACGTGCATACCTAATCGAACTATCATAGTTAACTTTACGTTCGAGACGCCTGTCTAATAATTATTTATTTCGAACATCGTTCTTCAGTTCGTTTTTTCAAACAACATTTTAATTGGAAATTACTAAGGAGTCGTAAAAAGTCAGACAATCGTCATCAATCAATCAATCGGCTAAAAACAGATTTCTGTTTACCGAAGATTGCATAATTTCCCATGAAAACAGGAATGGGTATTAATTGCATAACGCGTACAACGGAAGAAAGGTATCAAGTGGTATATACACCCTCGACGATCGTCCGATCGATAGAATGCCTCCTTTCCGCTCTGGAACGTGACGAGGCGTGCATCCAACTTCCGCTCGATATCGATCCCCGTTCGAATTAGCAACCATTCGCCAGTACGGTTTTCAGTAGATGCCGGATTTCGATACAAAATAAAATATCTGTAATAATCAGGAATTTCGTGTGCATTTTACTCTTGTGCCCTTGGCAAGTCGCTGGATATTCAGCGCATTTTTCATACATTCTGCAGACACAATTGAAAAGTAAAATTATCAACGATTTATGTTTCGTTTAGAACTAAGATTTTGAGAGAAATCTTGGAGATCCTCCAGTTACTTCAAAAATATAAAAAAATCTAAAAACTCGTTTGGTCGATCTCCAAACTGGACAAAACCGTGAAGCAAGGCGTGCACGGAATAGAGAGATAGTTGGCGGGAGTAGGAGGAAGAGGAAGAAGAAGACCAAGAAGCCGAGGTCGAGCCCCCACGAGTCAACGATCCCTGACGTCACGCGTGTGCACGACCTTGGCGAACGAAGCCGAGCCCGGAGCCAAATCTATTTCGTCTAAAATTTCTGTTCGACACAGCCCTTATCTTGATCGGCGTTATGGTCATCGGACCACGGTTGAGGCCGTTACGGGTCCTTGAAAGGCGACCGGGACCAAAGTCCCACGAAACTTTCTTACGAAAAAGGAGTTGCGCAAGCCCGACGCGTCATAGGTCATTGACGAGGCCTTCGATGACGTGAGAACTGCCCTTTCAGATATTTTATTTCATTCGTCAGAATCTTGACGAATTGTAAACAATTTAGCATTTGAAAGAATTTCTTTTCTTATATTAAAACTCGAGGTATTTATTAGGCTCGCCGACTACCTCTTTCAGGATTCCTACAAGCTTGAAGATCACACAGAAAATCCTAATGAGTTCATATGTATGGGCGAACGAAAAGTCACGTTCCTGCAGGTAATACAAAGTTTCTTAACTGCTTGCATAATGAGAACACAGGAAGGTTTTACGAGATTATCTACCGACCGAAATCACTCCAATGCGTACTAATTAGTAAAACCTACATTTTCTTTAATACTTCAATGAATATTTAAATAAATCAGTAAAATAGTTTGAAATCAAGTAA